TCATCTGCAGTCGTTTCTCAAGCAATCGGCCGTTCATCGCGGTTCCAAAAAACTCTCCTATACTCCCGTATATGCTTAAATTCACGGCATGACGACAGTCAGACCCTGTCATCCATCATAACGTGTGGACTAGTGGCGCGGAGCAGTAAGCCCCTCTGACCGGGACGGAAAATGTCAAATTTTATGAAATCATTACGTTTTTCTCGCACCCGAAACAATTTTCAACTATTGAAATAGGTTTTATTAATACTATTTTAAAAAAAATCTATAATATTGATGAATAGCATGTTTTATTACTTATTATCAGTGCTGTAAAATATACTTTTAAAAAGTATTTGAGTATATACTTCAGTACTTTAAATGTATAGTATTTCAAATACTACTCAAATACATTTTTTTTCTGATTAATGTAATGTAGGCACAAAGTAGGTTTTTAATAATTTTTATTTTATTTATTTATAAAATAAATATGTATTACATTTTAAGAACATAATGTTTTTAAAATTGTCATCAATTATAGAGCTTCTTTTTTTGGTCATTGTTGCTTCATCCATACTAAATACAGCTAACACAGAAATACAGATAATTCAATAAAACTATTATTCAATTAATATTATAGTTAGCAATAATATTTTTCCAACCAAATATTTTAAATAAGAATAAAATATTCAAAAAAAAACAAAGTTATCAATACAAATAAGTAATTAATAAAAAAAAAAAAAAACAGTATTTTAAATACCATTGTAAATACTTCGTCCTGAAAGTATCTAAAAAGTTATTCAATACTTATAAAAGTATTCGAATACTTTTATTCAAATACCTTACCTTAAATATTTTATTTTCAAGTATTATAAGAAACTTTTAAATAACTATTAAATTACAGGTCAGATCATTTTTCTATTAAGGTATATTTTTTTCAAATACTTAGGGAGAGAAGAAAACCCCCCCCCCCCTCATAGTTGAACATTGCCGAACTCGTTTAAGTATAGAACGGTTTCGCTGAAACCCAAAGTTTTTGATTGTTCTTACAGTGTTCAATGAATATCTAAATTGAATTAAAGGTCTATTAAGGTGACGTTTCAAATTGAAAGAAACTTCAAAATCCATTGTTTTTCATGTGGAAACCCAGGGCCGAATCAAGGTATAGGCGAGCTAGGCATTTGTCTAAAGCGGCACTTTAGTAGGGGTGGCATTTTCAAAATTGACTCATACATTTTTTTTAGTTCTATCGGTGTTTTATAAGAAACATATTTAAATTGATTCATTAATGAAAACCACTTAATATATAATAAAATAATATTGACTAAAGTTATTATATTACTTTATACAGGGCCAGTCGAAACCTATGGGCAGGGCCGTAGCAAGGAATTGGCGAGAGGCGCCTACGCCTCTGGCACAATTCCTGGGAGAGTACAAAATTTAAAATCTTGCGTTTAATGTTAAAAATTACAACGGTCAATGTCGTATATTTTGTTTACAAAATCTATAACATCATTCATATTAATTAAAGCAGTCATTGAAAATAATATCTAATAAGCATAATATTTTTAAATAAAAAATACATAAGAGCGCATTTTGAAGTTTCACTCTGGGTATAATGTTTGGTTTCTACGGCACTGACTTTATATTACGGTCTACACTGAGCGTTTTCAATTATTCCAAAAATATAAATAACCATACAATCACTTCCGCGATTTCCGATATTCGTGATAATGATGGGTTATGAGTAATAGTTATAGAAATCATTTTTGAGTCTTTTTACATATAATTTTATACATTAAATAAAAAAATTCAATTTGTTGACGCCCACATTTTTTGCTGCTGAAATTGCTCTTTCTCCCAGCCACTCATGATTTGTGTTTTTTCAGTATACATTGGGAAATATCTGGTAAATGAAAGCATCTTGCGAATCAATAATTGTGCAGAAATCGGTCGGTAATTGTATGAATTCCGTTTCATCTGTAGTAACTTTCCCATCACCGATATCCAACAATTGTTTTAAAAATCTTGAGCACGCACCTTTTTTTTATTGAAACGCAAGTATCTTAATCGTTTGCTCTCTATCTTTACATACAAGTTGACCATGAATTATTGAAAAACTTACAACATCGTAGAATAACGTTGTACTGATCACATCTAATCATCAACTGATATGGATAATAATTCTTCGAACTAACATTCTTGTTTGTTTTGGCACCTGTTGCGGGATCTTGTTGTTTAATATTTATGCAATACCCGTTATTTAATACCAAAAATAAAATTAATAGTTTTTTAATAGTTTTTTAATATTATCATTTAGTAATTCATTTAAGTACGAATATTCTAAAAATGAAATTTAGATAAAGAATATTTTGTCATCATTATATTATCAAAAAAATTGGATTTTTTTTTTATAAAAAATTCTTGCTTAAATATCTATTGGCTATAACTTAGGATTTCGTACATTATAATTAATGGCTGTGTAGCCGAGTCACATTACTTTCCTTGCAATATTATACAGTGCAAAACTATATACCAGTGTTTCTTAAGCTTTATGATAAGGTGGCCAATAAATATCCTTTGTATTAAGTTGACGAACCTCAAAAAAATAAAATAAAATAAAAAACTAATGTACTTTAATATAATAATTATCTTCTTCTTCTTCTTATTATTATTATTATTTTTTTTCATCTTTCATCCAACTATTTGGGGTTGACATGGCCTCAGGTCGCTGGAGGTTTCTCCTCGGTGAGGTGGCCGGTCACGGTTGAGTTGTGGTGTTGAGAAATAAAAGAGATCAAAAAAATAAAATATGATGATCCAATTTATATATATATATTGTTCAAAAAAAAAAAAAGTCTATATAAAATACCCATGTAGTCTTTTGGTGACGGTGGTGACAAAAGAAAAAGAAGGTTTTGAAGATAATATTCTTCTACGACGATTGTGAGCAAAAGTTAGTGACTTGAGACGATCGGTTGGTACATTGTCACCGGTTCCGATAACTTTTCCCACCTCTGCTCAGTTTTCCAAGGTAGGTGGGTAGTATCGGAAACGGTGTTGTTGTTTCCCGGGTTGTGGATGGGTAGAAAGCGGGCGCGGCTCCTCGATAGTGGTGTACTTAATGTACCTGCATCATAGCGGGACCGATTCAGGGTTGGTCACCCTTGTTCTAAATCTCAATATATTAATATAACTAATAATTTTATTATAAAGAATTATTTCATTTACTTTAACGTAATATTGCAAAAACTGAATAGTAATATGTTTATAATTATATTTTAATAATTAAGATATTTATCTTGTCATTAATTTATGAACAGCAATCTATCAAAAATATTTTGTGACCAAATGTTGGATCGTGATCTATAAGTTGGGAAATGCTGCTATGTACAATACTATGTATTTACAAGAAATTTTTAATCTATAAAAAAATGAATACAAAATGTATATGAGATTAAAAAGAATAAGTTGATATGATTGTAATGTAGTTATTTTCTTGCAAATCACTCATTCCCACGGAAACATCTGCAAAAAACAATTACGATGAATCAAATAATAATAATAAAGAAAATGCTTAAAATAATCGTATTGACGAGTAGAATAATATTATTATTAAAACTTTATTTTTATTTTGGTAAAAGCACACAATAAGAAAATTAAAAATTTAATAAGATCATGTACATATCGAAATGTGTTAAAAAAACAAATATATAATATTTGAATGCCACGCAGAGACATATTAATAATAAAATAAATCAAATTATTCAAAATTAATGTATATGATTATGTATATAATCAATAACCTCAAAAATAAAACGAACTCGAAGAAGAATATATATATTATGTTGTTGTTTTAAAGAAATTTCCAGTTAAAATATTGAAAGAAAAACCAATATTTATAAACAAACATGTTATGATTATCTTATTTGAATTCTTACTTGCAGCTATGCTTATATATTCCCAAAGATAGTGTCTTATTTGCTCGACGTAATTTTAAGAACAGATCTTTACATAACGTTTTAGTTATTATCATTCGACTGATACGAGTAATACAGCGCCGAGCAAGTATAGCCGACGTTATTAAAGACTACTGACAAAGTTACTATCATATACATCATACGCTTGATCTAATAAATTAACTTACAACTAGTTTATTACGCTTCTTAGTAGAAACATAAGACCGAATTCAAGTTATGACATGTGTCATTCCGATTCTAAATAATTTTCTTCAAATAATTGCATGTAACCTGGTATATATAAAGTATCCTTTTGTGTTCTCGGTACCACACTAATAAATTTGAACAATAAATTCTGTTCAAACTCATATTATTAATAAGATACGAAATAATAATGGTACATGATAGAATTTTAGTGAACTATTTGGTTTTACGATAAATGAGGTTGTTTATTTTTTTTCAAACAACTTACCAACGAAAAAATTTAATTTATTAGGAAAAAATAGCGATAAAATCCAGGTCTCTAATAAATCGACATAAGAAACGTAGTGATATTGATAGACACAATATATATATATACTACCAGTTAGTACGGTAATAAAAATAAGCGAACGCAGTTTGTTGTAGTTTTGTATAAAAAAAAAAAAAAAATAATAATAATAATACACTCGTATTTAATAAGGACACATTTTTATCCTAGGTGATTATATGAGCTTAAAGTAATTAATAATTTACATACTAAAATAAAAAAATGTATTATACTATGTGTAGTAATGCATACTTACATTTATTCCTTTTAAAATATAATGATACCTACATTTTTCAAATCACTCGTACAATGTTGTCAGCAATACAGCAATTCAATACCAGTTAATTCTAATCAAACGTTCAAATTAATTATTATTGAAAATTAATAAATGAAAATTTTAACATATAAAAGTGTATTATACACTCCACTTACTTATTGATGTAATGGAAAAAACATTTCGAAATTATAATGTATGATTGAAAAATTAAGATGCCATAAAAATAAATTATAAAATAAATAATTTTTTTTTTTAGAATTTTGGGAAGAACACTTTCAATGCCGATATCCTAGAAGCATGAGAACACCGTATAACTCCAATTATTCCGTTGAATGTAGCTCTGATTTTCATTTAAGAGAGAAAAAACCGAAGTTTGAAAACCAATTACAGTTTGTCAGCGACTCCGTGCTGGCATTCGCATATGCATTGTATAATATGCATTCAAACTACTGTGGTCCAAAATTTGTCGGGTTATGTGATGCAATGAAACCCGTCAAAGGACCTGAACTTTTAAAATATCTAAGAAATGTTACATTTAAAGGTAAGTTCAATCATTATCGATTAAAAAAAAAACTTATTTGTTTTTAATAAGATTCACACATAAAAACAAGGCAAAGTATTTTATCACATACGACACGAATTTAATAAACTAAGTTCATTATAAGATCCTTTATAACGGTTCTGCATTCCCTCTCCAAATTAATTATTCTTATAATTAGATTTTAAACGCTAAAACATTGCAACGATAGTGTCAATCACTAAGTTTTCGTTGAAAACTAATCAAATTACAGTTTACTATATCTTTACAAAGTATATATATATATATATATACAAGTATATATATATAAATAATAATCTATATCTTAACTGTATATTATATAGATAAAATATCGATTAATAAATCGATGTACGCGATTTGACGATTTAGGACATATAATTTTACTCGGAAAACAAATATTTATTTACGTATACTGTTTTATACAAAAACTATTTCGATATAATTAGCTTGCCTAAACATGGAAATCACACACACACACACACGCGCGCGCAGCGCGTGCACGTCCAAAAATTAATAGGTATAATATCAGATGACCTACCTAATAATTAATTCTGACAAAAATGAATATTTTTAATATAATGAAATAGCCGACCTTATAACTTAACATTATATTTATTGTCATTTGTCAATCGTTCAAATCGTTCAAAGTTGTTGGTAGATAAAATAAAACTGTATTCTATTATTAATAAAATATAAATAGAATATAGAATGTGAAAATAATGCTTAAAAATTAATAAATGGGAATTTTAACTCAAAACCATGGTACATATTTTATTATTTACAGCACGAAAAAAATTTAAATTGTTGTGCATATTTTCTTTCTAAAAGTCATAACAAAAATGATTTTACTAAAATATATAATAAATTTAATATAACATTATATATCATATAATATTTATATCTATCTATGTGATATAAATCATATTTTAATTTATTGTAATCTAATAAAGAAAAACAGTGCTTGACTAAATATTTATTATATTGATAAGTAGATAGGTACATTCATGACCATCTTCTACTTGAATTTTTATGAATTTATGAAACAAACAAAAACTTGAAGAATATTATATTAGTTTAGTTTTGACCAGTACAAGTTGCTGAAAAATAAAAATAAAAAAAAATTATATTATTAAACAATGTTATTGATTTAACTCTCATAACTTAAATTAAGCGCACGTTTAATGTAGTTGGACCATTCAAAAAATAAATTAAAATTAAATTAAAGAGTGATAACTTATGTGATATATTATTTTATTATTTATCGTTAATGTTTAACATGCATCATTGATGGATTAGTACGGATATACATTTAATTATGCATTTTGTTGTCCAAAAAAAATGTTTAATTTAATTTTCATGAAACGGTTAACTGATTTTTATTTACATTAAAATTATGAATTTAAACTTTTGAATGAAAACAATTAATTTTGATAATATTTTTGGTATAACTAATATGAACTTACTTTTTACTGTCAATTTCATGTTTATATGATATATTATAGTATATTATATTATAATGAACCATATAATGTAATGTGTGATTAACAGCCATTTTGATGATTAACTATGACATAGAAAGAAAGGTCTTACGAGATAAGTTACTATAATATTGTGTACGAAACAATTGAATCATTGAATATTTACTAACAATAAATAATATGAAATTGTTAATATATACTAATTAAAATTAATGAATTTAGAAATCGTTCATTATTTTACTCTGTAGACCAAATCTTAAATGGTTATTAATTCAATCTCACTTGAACTATAAATACAGCAAAGTTTTATTAGATAATAATTGATTAATATTAAGTATTCATAACATAGTATATACATACAGTGCCGAATTTAGGGTAAAGGTTGGGTTTGCTTGTTTCAGGCACTGTTGGCGTAAGGTAGCTTTTAAACTTATGAAAAATATAAAAAGTTATGAACATACATCGTACTTTTACCTATGTAAGGGCGCTGCATTTGTATTAGTCCTGGGCGTCAAATTTCCTAGGTCCGGCATTACCTACATATTATAAATGATGTTTAATTTTAAATCTCTAGATTTGAATTTTAAAATGGTAACAAAAATATTATTTCAGCATAACTTGTACATCATATGATATTATAATTATGTTTATTTCAAATGTTAAAACGCATGAAACTAAAAAAAATTTATTTTCCCTTAAATAATGGTAAATACATTTACCATGCAATTATTTTATTACTCGTCATTAAGTAAATTAACTATGCAAATTTGTTACATTTATCATGTTAAACATTTTCTTCAGAATGGCATCGGAATGGTAAATTACAGATTATTTTCCATATATATATATATATATATATATATATATAAGCCAAAAGAAAAACCCTTATTGAAATTATCGTTTCCTTTGTGATTTTAATGTCCATATTGGATATCTTAGTTAGTAGTTTTAGAATTACCTTTATTTACAAAAGCCTGCACTGCTAAAAAAAAATGACATAAGTTGTTAACTCGTTTTCCCAGTGGACAGTTAATAATAAATATTGCAATGGCATGACAATGTAATGTGTTTTTACACAGTTAACAACACAACGGGTTATAAATTCTAAAGGGGGCTGTAAACGTCAAGTTGACAATCCGCCTACAGGGACTATCATCAGATTTATTTCGAAGACGATTATTGCTTCAGTAGTCATATAGGCATTTCGGGAATCTTGAACATTAACTGCTGACAAACGGACGGAAAATTGCATTGTTTTATATACTTTAGGTTGTAAATAATAACTACAGACGAACATCATTTGAATTTAAAGAACTGTTTTCAGTTTAAAAATCCGAAAGCCTTTGTTACCAAAAAATTACTTGTTCGCAAAAAACAAAACTAATTGATGGTAATAATTTCACAGCATGCTTTAGATAATATTAACCAAATATTCCACCAATTTTGTCACAATAGCAGTTTTGTTTGATGACTTTATAAATTACATTTGATATAATTATGTTAACGTGTCCTCGGCAATTTAAAGGTTAAAAACGTTAGATCTACAAAAATTATTATAATCATAAATTTACTATGTATTTGAATTACTCAAATTTAATTATCCATGATTGTATCAAAAAATAATGTGATTTGATTATTTGATGAGAATTATATCATTTAAGGCTCAAATTTAAATCTAAAAATCGCATCATTCCAACATTTATTTTTTCAAAACGATTAAAAGAGCATTCTAAATCTGTCATGTCAGAGATCAACGGGGTGAAATTTAAAATATTATTCGGGTTAAATTTCGAAGGATGAATTGCCATTTATGAAAAAAAAAAAATATATATTTATATAAGTATATATCACCTTCTGAATACTCGTTTCGACCCAAATAAAACTAACATTTGCAGTCTGTTTGAATGGATAAAAAGAACCATCACATTTGGGATAGCTTTACATGTTTTAGTTGTAAGGTTAGATATGTGTATGAACTAGATACGTCATGTAAAATATGTTATTATTTTATACATTAATTCTCCCTATGCTGCACCCTTTGAATTGCAAACTGTTCCATAAACGCATTTAATGGTTTCACCACGATGCTGTAACTAACAATATATTGCTTTATATGTATTTTTTTAACTACCATGTATTATTATAATCATAACATAATAAATTATATTAAAATATAAATCAACATAATGTATGCAAGAAAATCTAAATATCAAACTATGTAAAAGTAGAAACTTAATGTAAAACTAGCCACAAACGAATTTCAAAATAACTTAGTAATAATAATAAGGGAAAATCCATACACAAATTGCAAAGCAACACTATAATTGTTCCAACGTGTTGATCAACAAAGACATAGGTATTCAGTTAACGAAAACAATCATATTAATAAAGAAGACAGCGACGAGGACGTGATTCAGCAGCAAATAAAGGGTTCCGGATTAGCACTAACTTCAGACGTATTATGTCATCTAGTACAGTACCTCTATCTGTTAATATTATCGACATATAACCGATAAATTGTTCATGTTAATTTACTTAAGTGTTAGTAAAATAATCATAGTATAATCCCTAGAATTCTCTATTTTGTATTGATAACTAGTATTGACACCTAATTAACATTGTCACACTGTCTATGTCCAACTTAAAAAATCGACACATTATACTTCATTCCATTTCGTGCATCGCTGTAGAATATACGACTAAAATAACTATCTCAAATGCTAACAAAAACACATAACAGACTTTGAAATACCACTACTACTCCTCTTGACTAAAATTACGAGAACAAAGTACAACCGTAATAACTTATGAATATTGATATTACAAATTAAATATTATGTATTCATTGTAATTGAATGATTTATGAACTTATATTTCTTATGTTTAACCATCGGCAATATTCCATTGATTAATAAAGATTTGAATATTGTCACGTATAATTAAGAGGACATGACAAAATATGTTCCGGATTTTTGTTTTTTTTTTACTACTTTTTCAAAATATTTTCATACCTGAATAAAAAAATTTGAAATATTATAAATTTCAACAATGTAAATAACCTTAAAACTATTTTGATTAATTAAAAATAAAAATTCTATATCTTGTATAGGTGTTCTGACAATTGAGCACGGAGTATTTGAGTACCAGGTAACTTAGCCAATTAAGAAAAAAAAGTTATAAATATATTATTCGACAGAGATTAGGTTTGTTTTTATTCTTATTTTAATAACTTAACACGTATCAGTTTTTAAAAGTCTAGTTAATATTTGCACAACAGTACAACACATTTTATAGTCTCTCATTCACTTACAAATATTTTATGCATCAATTTCGAATTTTTTAAATTTGTATTAATTAAATGAATTGCGTAAAATATTTGTTGTGTTAGTTATTACTTTATTTTATTTTTTATTATTTAAAGGAATTTTTCAAAATATTGGATTATAAATTAACTACTAATTTTACTATTATATTATATATTATATACATTTATATTTTATTAAT